GCTCTTGTAAGCCTCAAGGTTGAGGGGTAACTCAGAGAGGCACCCCCTTTCTACCTGGAGGGCCCACCCAAAGGCCCCCAATGCGTAGGGCTGCTAGGTGTGAGGGGGGCCATCCCTGCTGTACCCCTCTCTGCCCAGCAGGGCGAGTTTCTGTGGGTGTCCTTCCAGCCCCTCCACTCTCCACAGACATCCCCTCCCAGGAGTCCAGGGAATGAGGAGGCGGCTTTGCTTTGCTGGAACTGCCACCCAAGCCCAAAGGAGGATGGAGCCTATTGTAAGGACGCCGTTGCCAAGGCAACAATGGCCGAGAGGCCATTTAGTGCTTTCCTTTTATACCTGGTAATTTGGGTTTGCAGAGACAGGTTTGGCCATTTCTGCCTGTAAACACAGAGCCAATTTATTTTCAGCAGCTCAATGTCAAGTATCTTTCAGAAAAGCTCTGGGTCCAGGAGAGCTCTGGGGTATTCACTGAGGGGTCCTGGGGGAAGCAGGTGGGGGGGGGCGGGGGGGAGGGGTGCTTGCTTGGGATTCGATCCTGAGGGAGGGTCGGCCCGGTGGCTGTGGGAAACTGGCTGCCGTGTGGGTCCAGGGGGACCAGGAGATGGTGTGTGAGGCTCCAGGGGGCAGGCCCAGGATCTGCTCCCACCTCTGGGCAGGCTTCTGTCTTCGGGGCTTGGGGTGGTGGCTTAATTGGAAAGAGCTGGCCAAGGGCCCTGCTTCAGGCAACATCGGCACAACAAGCAGGTGCTTGACTTCTATTAAAGGCCTCCGGTTAGCAGAGATTATAAGGGTTTAAAATGTCCCCAAACTGCCCCTTGGCACTGCCACTGCATATGTCCTTGGCCATGGATTCCCAGTGCCATCAAAAAACTGTCCTGGCACCTGGCAAGGACAGAGAGTGGCCTGGAGCAGGAGCAAGCAGCTTGGCTCCAGCCCCAGCGCCCCCCCTCTCCCCGCTGGCTCCCACTGCTCTGGGCAACGGGCATGGCTGGTGGGTGTGGAACTGTTTCCAGTGAGTGTTTGCTCCCGCTGCGCCCACCCTCCATCTCCTCCCAGAGCACAGAGGATGGGCGGGGGTGGCCACTCGATTTGGAGGAGGAGGGCAGCGAAGCATGGGTGCTGGGTCCCGTCGGCACCCGCCCCCCAGGTTCTGGCCCTTCCAGGCAACTCACGTGAAGCCAGCATCCTCGCCCTCCTGTTCGTGGCAGGTCCCGCCGTTCTCACAGGGGCCACTGGAACAGCTGTCCAGGGGCACCTCACAGTCTCGGCCCTGGGGAGAGAGTCAGGGATGAGGACCCCAGGGGCTCGTGGAAGCCAACAGCCAGCCCCCCCCTCAGCAGCTCGGCCTGCCTGTCCCGGGTGTTACTTGTTCATTCGTTCCTTCAAGCGCAGCTCTGGGCAGGACCTGCTCTCAGGGCACTGGGGGCAGACGGGGAACACGACAGGCCACCCTGCCCTCCAGGAGCGGCCCTCCTCCTCCCGGGCCCAGCCTCCGCTCAAGCCCCCACTCACCTTATAGCCGCTGGAGCAGGCACACCTGTACCCTTGAAGGGGGTCATTATGGCAGCTGCCCTGGTTCTGGCACGGGCTGGACAAGCAGGGGTCACACTTGGCCTGGACAGCCAGAGTGGGGGGACCTGAGGCAGGGGAGGAGGTTCCTATAAGGGGGGGGGGAGGCCCAGCTCCTCGCTCCGTACAGCCAGCCCTTCAGAGATGGGAGGTGGGGAGCCCTCTCCCCAAGAAATTATTGCCATTTCCTCTGAGTCCCGTTCATCCTCCTTTCACAGCCCCCCCCCCCCACCACCAGCCTTTCCTCCTCTGTAAAATGGGGTTAATAACAGCCCCCGCCCCATGGGGCCACAAGGACTAGATGAGCTAATCTGCAGAAAGCGCTAAATGGCTGGTGTGGCCGCCTCAGGAGCCCTTGCACGGTGGTCAGGTAGGGCATCTGTGTGAGAGCGCCGTAGTCGCTACTACTGAAGTCCAATGACCTTTTCTGGGTCCGCTACACCCTCTGAGGCAGCCACCCCCGGGCCTGTCACCTGCTAACCAGGAAAGCAAGGGGGGGCCCCTCCGCAGGGAGCCCCGCGGCTCCACGAGGAGGCCACGCTGAGGAGGGAAAGGTCCATGCACCTTGAAGCTGATTGTCTCCGAGGCCAAAGCGGAAGGGCCGCTTCCCACCACCTCTCCAGGTCCGAGCACGGCCTTCCCAGCCCTCCAGGACTCACTGGTCGCCTTCCCTGAACTTGGAGGTGGGCGAGGAGCACCTCCTGCCGGGGCATTGGGCCCTCACAAGAACTATCGGGGGGAGCAGCCCCCTAACTAGTTTCCCACTGACGGCGCCTCTGGAAGTGGCGAGCTCTCAGCGCTGCTCAAAGGCATGAGCGTGAACAGAACAGAAACACGGCTCGGTAACTGGACGGGGGGCGGGGGCTCCTCGGGTGAAGGTGGGACCCTGCTTCTTGATCCGGGGGCTGGTTACCTGCGTGCGCTCAGTTTGTGAAAATCCAGCGAGCCATTCACTTATGATCTGTGTGCTGTCCTGTTATGCACGTTGTATTTCAATAAAGAGTTTTTAAAAAATAACTTCTCACCAGTACCGACACCCCCAGCTAAATAAATCCTGAGCAAACGTTTCGACATGAGTTGGCCTGCTCCCAACAGCTCAACAGCTAAGCCCATATCCGGCCCTGGGAATGGTTACCCCTGTGACAGCATCCTGCACGCAGGGTGGCCGGGCCGCCTCATTAACCTACGGCTGTCACTTTCCCTTCCAATGGGGGTCTACAAGCTGGCGGAGGGCAGGGCCCTGGCCCAGGGCCGGCCTCTAGTGTGCATCCCCCCTCCCCCCTCCCCAGCTGTCCCCAGTGCACAAAGCTGGGTCTGGGGCCGCCACGCAGCAACTCTCTCTGCTCAGCAGGGCTCCTGGGGCTCGGGCTGTCAGTCAGTCCATCAATCCCCGGCGGACGAACGAATGAACGAGCATTTTCAGATGGCCAGGGTGACGCGCCTTCAGAGCAAAGCCGGAGGAGCCTTGATCCGTGTGTTTCTACAAACGTCAAGAGCGTGGCAGCTGGGTCCGGCGGCTCAGGGTTTAAGCAAATTGGTGAGCCAATTCCTACCAAAGGGAGGCCCGAGTGCTTGCAGTGCTGAGAGACTTGACGCTTCCAGAAACGCCGTCGCTATTTTTACTTTCCTTACATAACCCCCGGAGGGATTCAGGCCCTAACCACTGAGATTTTCTGCCGGGTTCTTCCTTCACTGTTAAGTCCGGATAGAACGGCGCCACGTTAACCAGCTGCAGGTGCCTGGTTGCTGGGCGCCTGACCACTCGCGCAGGACAGTGCACCCACCACGGGCTCAGCCGCGAAGCGCAGCCAGGGTGAAGCAGGTCCTCTGGGCCGCCAGCAGTGGGAGGGGGGGGATGCGCGCTCCACACTTCCCCCCTTCCCTCGGGTCACCTTGGCATTCAAGCGTCTGGGGAGGAAATGAGTGAGGGAGAAAGCTGGCCTCCGAGTTCCGGGGCCCGGGAGAAGCGGGGAAAGACGGGCTTACTTGGAGCCTGGTGTTCACCCCATGTGGACAACTACCGGAGGGAGCAGCCACATTTCCACGGCGTTGGCAACAAGTGCCCCCTGGTCAGACGAGCAGAGAAGATACGAATCAAGTGTTCCAGGCGTCCTTCTTTTCTGTG